GACGATTTAATGTGATGTGTGTTGCATATCAAGTCGTACAGTTCCCAGGATGAGTGTTGTGTAAATGCAGTAGCAATGGCTGAGGCTGGGTGTTGTTAGGCTTCCCACAGCCCTCCTGCTGCTTGTCAGAACCACAGCCACTGTCAGTTTGGGCAGGCAGCAGAACCTCACCCAGGTACCACAGGGCTCAGAGGAGACACAGGGAACACAACTGCTCATTTCCCAGAGAAACTCCTGATCCGTTCCTCAAGTACCCATTTAAATACAGCTCACAGCAAGCGCTGCCAGGTGGTTTTTATGTTTGTTTTTAATTAGCAATGTAAATTTATTTTTAATTTTTCATGCAGCTGGTGGGTTTTGTTGCTCTGTGAAACACCAGCTTGCTTTAGCTGTGTGGAGCAGCTGTCACACGGTGCCTCCAGCCCAGGGGGAGGAGCTGTAGGTGATGTCTGCACCGAGCAAATCTCCCTGACAGACGTGGTAAAGCCTCCCTGTCCATGGGATGTTCGGCCTTCTCACAGACCCCTTGGATGCTGCATTTCAGTGGCCTCCATCTCCTGCCCCCTTGGACCAGTAATTGCAATTTTTGGTGTCTCCAAGCAGCAAACAGCTTTTATTTCTCCTGAAGTGCCACTGCCAGGTCTGGGGTCCACAGGCTCTTGGGCAGCTCTGCCACGTTGTAGTGGTGACACATAATCAGCTGGATGGGATTCCCAAGTTGTTCACATCTCTCCCTGGCTGTGGTGTGCAATAAATGCCAGCTTCCATGTCTCTCCCTCCCCTGTTCCAGGCTGTTTATTCTAATGCTGTTTAAAGAGGAAATTGAAAGTTTAAAAAGCAGTGATCTTAAGTGTAGGAAATTTGAATTCAGACAAATGAAAACTTATTTTATAATAGCTCATTATTTTACATCTTAAAATGGAATATTGATTAGAGTTCAGTTAAACTCCAGTTCTCCAGAGTTCTGTGCAGTCAGTAGCAAAGTAAATGGTGCTGAGCTGGGGCACTGCAGACCTTTTGTGTTCAACTCTCCCCTCTCCCCTGCCTTTGTAGGCTGAAGGGAAATATAAGGACGACCCTGTTGATCTGCGCCTTGATATTGAACGCCGTAAAAAACATAAGGAAAGAGATCTTAAACGGGATAAATCCAGGGAGTCGGTGGACTCGAGAGATTCAAGTCACTCAAGGGAAAGATCAACTGAGAAAACGGAGAAAAGTCACAAAGGCTCAAAGAAAAAGTATGTAGGAAACCCAGTAGCCATTTCCTTCTGCCTCTCGTGTCTCTGCTGCTCAGGTTGGAGATGACATCGTGTGCACACAGTTGTACACAGGGTGGTGCACCTGGGACATAACTGGCCTGAGTTCCCCCTCTGCGTGTCCTCTCGATGTCATTGTATCTGTGTGAAACACTAAGTAACTGTAAAAGGTAAATGGGAAGGCTCCATGTGTCAGGATGGGTGAGTCACTTTTCCTTCTTGTTCCTGTTGTGTCAGAACAGCCACGTTGAAACGACTTGGCTTTGATGTTAATTTAATAATTCTCTATTAGCCTAATTTTCCATTGACTAAAACTCTGTGGATGCATGCTTAGCTCAGAGCAGATGGTGTGAGCACCTTAGGAAGGAGCAACAAGTTCCTTCTGGAGAGCACTTGGGCCCTGTGTTAGAACCTGAGCTCTTCCTATGGCTTTTCCTCTTGTAGTGGCATTGATAAGGGAGTGCTGACACAATGGTGCTGTATCAGGTGGGTCACAGCTGAGTTCCTAACCCTGTTGGTGTTCCCCTCCCTGCATTTCCCATCACTGAAACAGGAAACACCGACGGGTGCGGGAGAGATCCAGGTCCAGTTCATCGTCCTCGTGGTCCTCTCACTCAGTCAAAGGAGAGGAGTATCCCGAGGAGACTGAGGAGAGGGAGGAGAGCTCCACAGGCTTCGACAAGTCCCGGCTTGGGACTAAGGAATTCACTGGCCCAAATGAGAGAGGAAGAGCAAGAGGGACCTTTGTAAGTGTTCTCCACCCCCTGGTCCGAGGGTTGATTCCCAAAGTGGGCAGGAAGGGATGCTGGATCTCCTGGAAGCCCTGGAATGGGATGGGAGGGCACTGCCTCTGAAACCTTACTGTTTTTCTGCTCTGTGTTGCCCTTGCAGCAGTTCAGAGCTCGAGGGAGAGGATGGGGCAGAGGCAACTTTTCAGGCAACAACAACAGCAACAGCGGCGGCAACAACGACTTCCAGAAGCGGAGCAGAGAGGAGGAGTGGGACCCCGAGTACACACCTAAGAGCAAGAAGTACTACCTGGTACGTACCTGGTGCTGAAACATCTGTGTGCTCCAGGTGTGTCTGGTCTCAGATGCTTTTGAGGTGAAAGCACCGACTGTCCTTAACCCGCCGGGGAAGGCTTCGGGTGACACGGCACAGGAAGCTGCCGGCTCTGCCTAGAGAGAGCTCGTTCCTGCTCCTTGTAGAGTGGATTGCACCAAGTGGCAGTGGGAGACAGGTGCCAGGGTGGTGTCAGCCTGTCTCACCTGCTGTCCTGTCTCACCCTGCAGCACGACGACCGGGAGGGCGAGGCCGCGGACAAGTGGGTGAGCCGGGGCCGCGGCCGCGGCGCTTTCCCCCGGGGCCGGGGCCGCTTCATGTTCCGCAAGTCCAGCACCAGCCCCAAGTGGGCCCACGACAAGTTCAGTGGGGAGGAAGGGGAGATCGAGGACGACGAGAGCGGGACGGAAAACCGGGAGGAGAAGGACAACCTGCAGACGGCGGCCGAGTAGCCGCGGGGCCCGCGCGGTTCCGGGAGCCCCGGCGGGAGGGGGGGGACCGGGCTGGTGCTGGGGTGCCCGGGGGGTGCCCGGGGGATCCCCGGGGGCTGAGCAGGGCCCTGGAGAGGAGCTCGGAAACGATCCCGACGTTAGTGAACCGCATCGCCAGAGTTCAGCCTCCCCAGGCACGGACTGGGACTGACTGACCCATCATTTATGCTCGGATCCACTCCTGGAGTTTCTCTTCCCAAAGACGTCCCCTCTGGACTGGATACTGTCTCAAGCACTGGGTGAGATCCCAGATTTTCCCTTCTCTGTGACCTTACGGATGGTCGGTTATTTTTTGGTAACAGGCATTGAGGACGATGTGGTTTCGGTTTGTGCCCACCTGACCCCACCAGTCCTGACATTCGTTTCTCTTTTATAATTTGACCCAGTGTCGGTCGGGGTTCGCTCACCCGCTCAAATTTTCCTCCCCTATTGTGTATTCAGTTTTCTAAATTCATACTCTGCTTATTTTAGGCCTTTACGTACGTAGCAACATCGATTCAAAGATAATTTTGGAAACTATTTTTGGTTCTTATACATAGGAAAACAATGAAGCATGTGAGTAAACATCTAAATATTCACTTGTTGGGACCAAACTGCTATGATTTTTTTTTTTAACTTTTTTTTTTTAATGTAACAGTTGAGTTTAGGGCCTTTTAAAAATTATTGTTTTCCTTTTATGTTGGAAGTTAACAAAATTAGCATGGTTTTAAAGAGAAAAAAAAATTACACCCTACTTCTGGCCACTGTTTGTGTTCACTGTTAGGCCTGGTGTGTGCTGGACCCCAAACTGCTTGTAGCATTTGTGTCTCCTCCCTGCAGCTGGTTGTGACCCGAGTGCCCTTTCCAAGATGACAGTTTTCTAAGGAACTTCCGAATTCTACTTGGGGAAAAAATATAAATGGAGATGAGAATTTTTCAATATTTTTTATTAATCTTTTTATAAAACCAAAAGGCAGATCCCTCCTGAGCTGATTGAGGACAGCCCTTAGGATGTTGTTTCTTTTTATCTTCTACTTTAAGAATGCTCTGGAGCAGTTTGCAGATGGTTCCCAGCCGGGTTTGAGCCTGGGCGGGGAGGCACAGCCGTGCCCGCGCTCCCCTCTCCCCCTCCCCAGGATTGCTGTGCTGTTCCCCACACACCAGCTAGAGTTTGGTTTGTTTTGACTTGAACAGTTCCTGTTTAGCAAAGCCCCCGAAGTTTGTTTATGCAAATAAAATACAATAAAATACGTAGTAGGTGTAACTCTGCTTGGTTTGTGTCCTGAGTCGCCAGGGGAGGCCAGAAGAGCCTGGAGCTGCGGGGGAGCTGAGGGACACGGTCCTGGAGGAGAGGTTGGAGGGACACCAGGGCTGCTTGGCCTCATGCTTGACCTTGAGCTGACCTAGGGAAAGGGGTGCCCGGTGTTCCCAGCTCCTTCCCTGAGTGGTCACCCTGGGAATTGCAGCAGTGAAACCTCCCCTCCACAGCCCCGATCCCCAACCCCTGCTCGGGGCTCAGCATTGCTGGGTTGGATGAGTTTGGCCAAAAGGAATATCTGTGCTGCCTCCTGGGCCAGGTGCTGGCCAGGCCCGGCCGGAGCAGTGGTGTCACAGTGTCACAGTGCCACACTGACATCCTGGCCCCGCGGAGGGACCGCGGCCACACCACCCCCTGCGCCCGCGGTCTGTGGGTTTCGGCCCCTCCGCGGTTTGGGTTTCACTTCCCCTCCAGCCCAAGGTGACAGAAGCACTGCAGGCCCTGGGTGGCTGTGAACTGTCACCTGGGGCCAGCTGTGATCCGGTGCCTGTGCCAGCCCTGGCTCTGCCCGGCATTCAGGGCTCAGCCGTGCAGGGAACCCCGATGCCAGGGCTGAGACCCCGCGCTGGCACAGACGGGCCAGCCCTGCCCCGGGTGGGGAGAAGGTGGGTTGGGGGCTCCATGCTGGGGGTGACTCTGCAGGGCTGTGCCGTGACACTGGTCCCCACCTGCAGTCCCAGCACCCAGTGCCCTCCAGTCCCATCCTCACCCAACCCCTCTCCCACAGCTGATGCCAGTGATGCCATCCCAGGACACCGAGCCCAGGAAGTCCAGCCCTGGTGTCCATCCGGCCCCAGGAGCCCCCGTGTCCCACCAGGATGGTTGGGCAGCCCCACAGGTGGGTGCGAGGTGGGTTGGGGCAGCCGGGGACTCACCCGGGATGAAGGGCAGGGGGAGCCCTGTGGGGCACAGGGATGTGGTGTGGACCAGCACCCAGGTTCTCTCTGCCTCGACTTCCTTCCCAGCACGGAGCCGATTTCCTCTGGCATCACGTGCACAGTGTGGGGCCAGGGGAGCCCGGCAGGGCACGGCTCGACTCGTGGGCAGAGGCAGGAGGGAGCAGAAGGGCAGGTAGGAGGGAGACCCCGCAGCTCTGGGGGTCCTGTGTGTGGGAACCACCCCAACAGCAGCCCCTGTGCTTGGCTGAGCTGCTCCAGGGCTGGGCATGAGAACAGGGTGGTCCATGGGCACCTGGTGCCCTGTACCCGCCGTGCTGGTGGGCCTGCCCTGCCGTGCCCCCCGGGCTCGGTGGGACGGGGATGCTGCTGTGCCGTGGGGGTGGGATGGGTGGGTGGGTGACATCCTGCCCGTGGTTCCCCGGCTCTGCCGCGCGCAGAGGAAGCGCCGCCCGCAGCAGGGCCCGTGTGGGGCTGGTGTGGGGCTGGGAGAGGGTCCTTCCCCAGTGCCTAAGGAGCCCTTTTGCTCCCTGGCAGTTGGAACCACAGCGAAGGACAGGGAGGCTGAGGACGGGGAGCCCCCAGGTGAGTCCTGGGCCGGGGGAGAGGGAGGGACAGGGATGTGCCTGGGACAGGCCCCCCATGCCGGGGCAGGAAGAGCTTCCTGCCCCGCTGCCGCCTGGCAGTGCCGGTCCAGCCCCAGCCCTGCTCCTGCCTCCTCTCCCCAGAGCTCCCGGCACTGAGGATGGAGCCGGCCAAGCTCCCGCTCACCAAGAGGATGGCTCCTGCTCCCCCCGTCCCTGCCAAGGCCAAACCAGTCCCTGTGCTGGCCACCAAGTAAGACACGCGTGGCCATGCTGGGGTGTCTGGGGCCACCACGATGTCCCAGCACCAGGACCGTGCCCACGGCCACGTCTGGGCCCTGGAGCAGGACTGGCTGTGCCATTTCACACCTCTGCTGTCCCCAGGCCTGGTGACCCCCAGCCCAGCGCCACGGCTGACACGGGGCGGGGCAGAACCGGTGACCCAGGTGGGTGCAGGGGCACACGAGGGGCTGCAGGGGGGCCGGGCCCTGCCCGGTGCCAGACACCAATTCCCGCTCTTTCCTTGGCAGACGCCGACGGCTTCAACGTGGTGTCGGTGACCACGGCCAGGCTGAGCCACCCCACGGCCACACGGCCACGGGTACCCGGCCAGCGGCCACCCAGCCTTGTCCTGGGGAGCGCGGGGGGTCCCTGTGGGGTGGAGCAGCCCTGGGGGCCGCCCCACGCCAGGCTCTGTGTGCCCGTCCCCAGCGCGGGGCAGGCGGAGGGGCCGGAGGGGCCGGAGGGGAGGCTGCTGGCCCTGGAGGACCTGAAGGCCGAGGTGCGGACCCTGCACATCCTCGTGGACCTGATGCGAGTCCAGCACCTGTGAGTGGGGTTGGGGGTGTCGGGGGGTCCCCGGCGGCTCCGGGCCGTTCCCTGCCGGGTGTGGCCCCCACTGAGCCGCCCGGGTGCGTTTGCAGGCGGGACCTGCAGGACCTGAGGCTGGAGCTGTGCCAGGAGCGGAGCCAGCGCCAGGCGCTGCAGGTGAGTCCCGGCAGGGGCTGCCCCATCCCGGTCCCCCCCGAGCCCCCCAGCACTCACAGCCTCTCCCCACAGGCAGAGATCGAGCGGGTGAGGAAGGCGCTGTCCTGTTAGTGCCATGGGGGCTGCGCTGCCCACCCGGGGCAGGTGGGGGGCACACGGTGCCCTATGCCCCCTGACCCCGCTGCCCCCAGCCCGGATCTGCACTCACTGGGCACAAAATGCCCACCCTGTGCCCAGGTACTGCTCCCTGCAGCACAGCTGCCCCTGAGTGTACAGAAATTGTTTACAATAAACTATTTTGGGTACGAATCTCTGTGTGGGGTGCTCAGGGAGCTTCTGTGGGCTCCCACGTCCCTGTGGGGCTGGGCTGGCCCTGCCTGGACCCCCGTGGCACAGGGGGTCCCACCATGGCACAGGGGGTCCTGCCAGGGCCCACAGCAAGGCTGGGACAGGGCCTCCTCCTCCTCCTCCTCCTCCTCCTGCTCGTCCTCCTCCTCCTCCAGCCCCCACATAATTTCCCAGCACATCCTGGCCTCCAGCCACTGGAGCACATCTGGAAAACATCTGGATCCTGCCGGCGCTGGCAGCAGGGGGAACCAGCCTGGGAAGAAGCTATTTTTATAAAGCTGCTGGGGAAGGGGCAGTGGGGCCCCCGCACCTCGTGGGGCTGTGCTGGGGCTGGGAGCAGGGCAGGATGCGGCTCAGCCTGGTGGGAGCAGCCACATCCCTGGGGAGCAGCGGCCATCCCAGACTCCAGCGGGAACATCCGCCCTGGTCCCGCCGGGAGGGCGCTGGGTCACGGTGGGCGGTGCCGGAAAAGATCCGGCTAAATTTAGTGGGGCCGAAGAGGGAATTGGCCTGGGGAGGGGCTGAGAACGTCCCGGTGCCAAGGGCCCCCCAAAACTCAGGACCCCACCACGCTGGGCTCCAGCTTGTGTATAACAGCACCATGTTTGTGGGGCAGGAGCCCAGGGCTCACACGGATGCACGGCCCGGCCCTGCCCCATGGGGTGACCCCCTGCCCATCCCGGCTGAGATGGACCAGCAAGGTCAGCCCTGTCCATGTCCCTGTCCCTGCGTGTCCTGGGGCTGCTTGGCTGGTGCCAGCCTCGTACCAATGGCTCAAAGTGCATCGTGTCCCGCGGTGCTGCGGGAGAGTCCGGCCCTGGGCGTGCCCGTGGCACTGGGTCCGTCCGTCCTTGGTGCAGGGACAGCCCAGGGCAGCTCCAATGGTGCAGGGGCCGTGAGCAGCCCCCGTGTCCTGCCCGTCCCTCCCGGCACGGCCTGGGATGGGCTCTGGGGGGAGCAGGCACCGTGCCAGGGCGGCTGCCCCCCGTGCCGGGGCTCAGTAGTAGTGGACGCGGCCCAGGGTGCCGACGGAGCCGATGGTGCCGGAGCCCAGGATGTCGGGCTGCCCGTTGCGCCAGATCTCGCGGATGATGCGCTCGCGCTCCTCCAGCCGCTGCGCCCGCTCCAGCTCCTCCGCCGACGCGAACACGTTCACGGCCAGCGCCCCGTCCCCGGGGCCGTGGCTCTCCAGGGGGATCTCGGTCACCGGCAGCAGCGACTCGGACGCCGCGCAGTCGATGGTGTCCTCCTCTTCATCCTCGTCCTCGTCGTCCTCCTCCTCGTCCCCGCTGGGCCGGGCCGGGGGGCGCGGGGGGGACCGGCAGGACAAGCGCAGCACCAGCAGGCACAGGGTCAGCACCAGCCCGAAGCACACGCCCAGCACGAAGTAGAGCCCGAAGCTCTCGGGGTTGGCTGCGGGAGAGCAGAGGGGGTGAGGGACCCGTCTGTGCTGCTGAGGGCCCACAGTGGCCCCGGGGTGGCCTTGGGGTGCCCTGGATGTGCCCTGGCTCACCTCGGATGTGGGCGTACGCGGCCATGCTGTTGCTGAGCAGCTCCATGTCCCTCCGGCGACTCTCCATCCTGTGCCTGGTGGTTCTCAGCAGCTCCAGGGATGGCACATACTCGGCATCTGCGGGATGCGGGGGCTGAGCAGGGATCTACAGGGGGCTGGGAACCCCCACAAGTGCCCCGGTCCCTTTCAAGGCAGTGCCTGGGTGCACCCAGGGGCTCCTCGCTAAGCGGGGCTCGTTCCTGGGCTGGGCTGCTCCATCCGGGGCTGGAATCCCACAGATGCTGAACTGGAGCCATCCCACTCCACCGCCCTCCGTCCTTCCTGAGGGACCAGGACGGATACGGCTCCTCCTGGACGCAGCATCAGGCGGATCTGTGGCACCGGGCCAGGCTTTCCGGCCCCTGCCCTGGCCACGGGACGGGTCATGGGGCAGAGCGGGATCCCAGCACAAAACTGCCTGTGCCGGCCGCTCGTGGGAGCCGGAGCTGCCTGTGCTCGTGTGCACACGTGTGCTCCAACACACACACGTGTGCTCCAACACACACACGTGTGCTCCAACACACACACACGTGCACTCCACACACACACGTGTGCTGCGCGCACACACAGACAAATGTGTGCTCCAACACACACACACACACACGTGCCCAACACATACATGTGTGCTGCACACAAACATACACACGTGTGCTGCACACATACACACACACATGTGCCCCCCCCATACACACACGTGCTCCACACACCCCATCAGGGCAGTGTCCCTGTCCTCATCTGGCCCAGCTCCAGCCTTGGCCCTTTCCCGTGGGGCCCTGCAGTGCAGGGACAAGGACAGGCACAGTGCAAAGGCCACCAGGACAGCGGGCAGGATGGGCAGGATGGGCAGCAGGACAGGGGGAAGGATGGGAGGCAGGACAGCGGGCAGAGCATGGACAGGGCGGGAGGCAATTTGGCCCTGGCAAGGGACGAGCTCATTTCCCAGAAAGGGCTCCAGGGAGAGAGGAATCAGGAAAGAAATGCAGAAAATGTGACACATCAGCAGAACCATCCCGGACAGTCCAGAGTTGCAGGGCTGCAGCACATCCCGGGGCTGGGCAGCCCCTCTGGTGGGATGCCCCAAAACCAGGCCAGCAGGGTCCCCAGGAGGGGTGGGTGCCCTCCCCGTGGAGCGGCTGCACCGCCGGCCCTGCCCCGCCAAGGCTGTGGGGCTGGAGGGGCACAGACCCGCCATGGGGCCCCAGGGACGCCCAGAGCCCCACACGGTGCTGGCGAGGGCACTGCAGGGCTGACGCAGGGCCTGGGGGTCCCCAAGTGTTCCCAGGCACTCAGCCCTGTGTCCCCAAGGGCCGAGCCCGGTGTCCCTCAGCGCTGCGTCCCCAAGTACCGCACTGAGCGTCCCCGAGCCGCCAGCGCCGCGTCCTCACCCGCTGCATCCCACGCCCCGAGCTCTCCATCCCCGCGCACCCAGCCCCGTGTCCCTGCACTGCTCCCGTGTCCCCCAGCCCCACGTCCCCCGAACTGGAGCTCCTCGAGCAGGCACAGGGCAGAGCCCGATCCCCGCCGTGCCCTCGGGGTCCCTCGGGGTGCCCCCGGCCCGGAGCCCACGCGGTGCCGGGGCCGGTACTCACCGGGGCGGGAAGGCGGCGGAGCCGCTGCACTTTGGCTGGAGCGAGGGAAGAGAGGGAAAGGTCTGTTTAGCATTAACGCTGCAGCAACAGGAAATAGTTCGGAGGCGGCTGGCGGTCAGCGCGCCCCGTCCAATGGCAGCCCCGGCCGGGGCTCGGCGGGGCCGGGGCTCGTCCCGCTCCCCCGGGACCCCGCGCTCGGCCCGGCTGCGGAGCCGCCCCGTCCCGGCCCTGCCCCGAGCCTGCCCCGGCCATGGGCAGTGCCCGGCCCTGTCACCCCTGGCAGAGGTGTCGGAGGGACTCGGATTCCCTCGTGCCAGCCCTGGACGTGCCGGGGCCGGACCTCGGGGACACGAGGCTCCGCATCCCACCACCGTCCCCAGCGGCCACCCCAGGGAGGGACAAGCTCAGAGAGGCCCCTGGGGCAGGACAAGGCCGGGGGCCCCCGTGGGGCCACTCTGCTGCTCTGCTGCTCTGTGGGTCCGGCCCCGCTCCCCTGAACTCCCGGAGCACATGGGCCCCCATCCCCCCCATCCCACTCCCCTCCCACCCCTTCCCCGCGGGGTCGCCGGGCTCTCGTATGAAGTTTTATTGCCGACATGCAGGAGTAGTTCCCATGTAGTACAAAAATAACGTCTTTATACAAATTTTTTTCCTCTTTTTTTTTCTTTTTCTTTTTTTCCTTACAACAGGCTCTGTCCCGCTGCAGCCCCTGGGCCCCCCCCGTCCTGCCCCCCACACCACCCCCTTCCAGTTTGCCTTAGCACAAGTGGGATTGACCGGTGCTGCCCAGGGCACAGGATCCTGGTGTGACACAGCCTCAGGGAGTCCCAGAATATTGCTTTTTGCTTTAACTTTGGGGGGAAAAAAACCGACAAAAATAAAGAGGTGGGAGCGAGGCAGGAGAGAACCAGAAGGAGAGAACAGGGCCCTGGTGGGGTGCTCAGGGGGTCCCTGCCCTGCTGCTGGTGGCACACACTGGGGGGTGCTGGGACAGACCCACCATCTTCAAAATAAATAAGGCGAAAGAATTGGGGCTACTGGCTCAGCTGGGGACGTGCAGGGAGCTGCTCTGTGTTAGTGTTCACGAGGCCCTGCCTGCCCACGGGGCCTTGGCGAGGCGCAGGCAGGACGTAATGCCCGACGGGGCCAGGGGTGCTTCAGGTCCATCCCCAGCCCCACAAAGCCACCAGTGCAGTGGCCCAGCTTAGAGCCCGTCCCCTTCCCCAGCCCGGGGCCAGAGAAGGCAACAACACGCTACAAACATCTGCTACCTACAAACATCTGCTACTCGCTCCCTGCCCGCGCCCCCCAAAGAACACGCTGGCCCCAAAGAGCAGGACAGCCCCAAAAAGCAGGGCAGCCCCCCCAGCTCTGCCCCTCCCTGCTCCCAGGGCTGGCAGGAGGGTGATACCAGGGCTGGGAGCAGGGAAGGAGGCAGCCAGAGAGCCGCTACCTCGAGCGGGAGCCCTGGCACGGGGAGCCCTGGGAGGTCTGTGTGAGAACAGTTCATCTGGCAAGACAGGCATCCAGTTCATAAATGAGGCTCAGAAACAATCATTCCTGTTCTCAGCACAGGCCAAAACTCTTCCAGTGGCACCAGGTGACAAACCAGGACATCCTTC